GCTCCTCGAACCCACAATACCACTCCCGCACAAAACATATGGAGATCCAACGCAGGTGGCAGGGAGAGGACCAGGACAACGGAACAGTCAAACTCAAGTATATCCCCACCACAGAACAAATTGCTGATGGGTTCACCAAACCCCTTGCTCGGGAAAGATTTGAGTGGTTTCGAAGAGGGCTTGGCATCGAGTGATTGCGACACCTTATTTGTATTGAACGAGATTAAGGCGCAGGGCATCCTTTCCTTCCTTTCTTCACAAATGAAGTTTTTGAAGGTTTTAATGGAGCCCGTCGCAACCGCGATCATATGGTCGCTGACACCATTGGTAATGGGTTGCCATCGAGTGGGAGTGTTGAGTATCGCGGTGGTCAAAGCTTATGGCGGGACTAGCGATGGACATTTAAATAGATGGGATTCCCACTTTTGATAGTAACCTCAACAAGAATATTATAACTACCTATCTCAACAGGTGAAGTAGCGGCCAGTGGTAAACCATCCCCGTCATAGTGGGGATATTTGTTCCCTCACGAATGCAAAGGTTGGTAAACAGTGTGCAATGATGATTTCTACATATAAGATTCGATATGGTAGTACATATGCCGGTCGGTCTTCAGTACGACTTTCTCTCGGCTCGAGCTTCACCGCGTACTCTCAACCGATATTCTGTATCTGAGGTAATGTCGCTCGCTACATGTGCACTTGATATTGAATATATATATCCGTGGACCAGTTCAAGTATTTACACCATCGGCGGTAAAATCGGGAACGAACCACCAGAATAACAGCGATAGAGAACTTGACTCTTCTGATCATATTTGAGTTATCACTTCATGTCGGCCTGATCAAATGAATCACACTTGTGGAGCAAAAAAACGCTGATCTGGCTGGGTACGTGCCCGGAAGAACTCCTGGTATGATCTTATGGAAAATCGTAGTTTATATTTAGGCAAATTTCCCGCTGCCAGCGTCTCTTCCTGTGTGGCCTAATGGATTTGCTGCATTGGATTTCCAATAACGGCCCGGGTTCGATTCCTGCAGGATTCAATAGATGACCCTTCATCAGAAAGACGGGTCAAAACGGGTCAAAACCCGCTTGATATTTCCGGGTGATTTCGTGTTTTCTACAGTTGATTTTTACAGTACCTCTTGGCTACATCGTGTTTTTAATGAAACCACGTTTTATAGTCGCCTGAGCATGTATGATCAAGGTAGCATCCGCCGGTACTCAGACGTGTGCCACGGGCGACTGAGTGTACTGGCGTGTCGCAGCGTCTCGCACCAGACACACGTGACATTTCCACACTGACAAAAACATGACGGCTCCTTTCGAAGTCAACAAATACGTTAAATCCACGAGCTATCAAAACCCACCTGGCGTCTTTCGAGTAAAAGTTGGGCAATTTGACTACCGCGACAATTGACCGGCCATAATTTACGAGGATGCTTCTGCTGATGAGTTAGTTCATGGGGTGATGACATTGAGAAGGGAGCATTGATCGGCTTGCTGCCGCATTTGGGAGAAAATGCTTATCTGAATATCAGCGATTTGGCAATATGGTCAATTGGTGACCCCAAGCTTGCGGTGATGAGAACGTGTTGCCAGCTTTGTTCGCAAAGGCGGCCATGGCCGTAGCTTGGTATTGTTGTCTGCATTGGGGCACTGCAAAAGCAATTTGCCGAGGGAAATACTCAATCTAGCACACATTGTTAGCTGATGGCGCAAGATAAGTGTTCGCAACTCACCATGCTCGTGGTTTAGATAAGATCCCCTTATACCAGCCCACAGACAATACCCCGATCGGACCGGTGGGAGCGGCCGAATCACGGCTGTTTCTCACTCCCTCTCCATACTAGCATGATTTTAGGCGACGAGGGTGGAACAGACTTGCTGCAGTATAGCCTGGCATCAACATAAGCAGACGAGACTCGATTTAGCAGTCTCGTCTCACTTATACGTCAGAGGGTCTGTCATTGCTCCACACAACAGGGATGAGTGGCCTACATCTGTCAATGCAAATTTCAAGGCAGACTTCCAGCCGTGCCAGTAAAGAATATCACTGGTGAAGAGAGTCATAGTATGTTGCTCTGAGGAGTCTAGAAACTGACCTGAAGACTACTGCTTTCGTGACAAGAGATCCGGGGTAGATCCAGTGCTGTAGACTACAGTGTGGCTTGTTAGGCTGCAGCTAGGGCCTGACAGAGCTGGCCTTCAAATTGCGGCCAAAAACTCCACTCATTCCGTATTGATGCGTTTCTCGGAGAAATCGTGGTAATTCTCGGTGGCCGTTGATTCTCGGCTTTTCTTCGTCTTGGCTGGATGCTCTGAGTCGGTCTAACATGGATCCTGACTGTACCGTCGTTGTGGCTTCGAATCGGACGTGGGACAAGAGATTCCTAGTCATCCGATGGGGGCATCTATAGTGACAGTCAATGTTTGGTCAAGTAGGATGAAACTGGAAGAGATGAAACTATGTGGGAGGCTACCCTTTCCAATTCGAAGGGAACTGAGCCTCCCTGGGTTTTGTTCGCTAACACAAGCGGAAAGGAAGTTTCAAGTATCTGTCTTGGGATAGCGAAGCGGAAGACATTGGGATTTAGTGGCTCGGCCAGTCGTACATCCTTGATTTGAGGACGATGGGGAAGTGCGGCTCGGTCGTGGCGAGTGTCACCTGGGCTTTTGTCCCATGACTAGAAAGACACATCAGCAATCTCGTCTGACGGAATGAGAGCACAACACGATGAAACTCAAGCAAATAATATCCGCGGTGAGATTCCAAATGCAGTCCCGGCCATGGTACTTTGCAGAAACAACGTACCAAGGTAAATTGCAAGATATTGAGCGACTCTTGATTGAAAGCCTGCCTTTCTATAGAGTGAGTCGTCAACACAGGATAAATATACTCAAGATTGCCGCAATGATAAAACTTACGTTATCAGCTGTTACTATGCGCTGTAGCTGGGAGGGCCAAATGGCTGCATAAAGATTTTCCTTGATCTATCATTGGTCGTTAGTAGGTAGCTTATGAAGGCAACTCAAAACTCACCGTGCTTGCAGCTTTGATCATTTTCGAGGCCACTTAAGGTCCGTCACGAGGCTCCTAGAGGAATGGAAGAGAAGGGCTGGTCTCGAGCATATCTTAAGTCAGCATGATTCCGAATGACCGAGCAGTTACACTCACTTGCTATTCGAAGATTTGGTATCGAGCTAGACAAGCTGGGTGTGATGCAAGAAGTCAGTTCAATCATAATTGCATGGCAACATGGTTCAAGTCCATACCAGATGATAGCCGACAGAGCCAAAAGGCTTTCCAGATTTTTTGACCCAGGGTGAAAAAGGGATGATTGAGAAAGATTGTTCTGCTGGCGAGGGACTGGGGTATTTATAGCATCGTAGCCCGCCTTTCCGCTAGCGTCTTTATAACGGAAATTGCGAATTGTGAGCTCACCAACAGAGTTGGCCGTTGAACTGCAAATGGCTCAACATTTCAACAGGATGAAGGGCACGTATCTTTCAGAGGTATCATGATTCTTTTTTGATGGTCTATGGCTGCATATAACGAAAGTTTTCCTGTCGCTGTCACCGTTTCAACACATCCAGCAATATCACAGAAAATGTCAACAACGGGTCTCAACATCCATTGACGTTGATCCTCGGGTTATTTCCACAGGTGATGGCAAAAATCTGACATGTCATTTAATTTCACTTGCCAATAGTCAGGTTCTCCCTCCACTCAAAGGATTTCTCATAAACATCAAACCTTGTTGTGCCCCTGGCTTCCTATTGGTTCAGCCACAGAATAATTCGTGTCCATTAAGCAATGATCGAAGGTTGCAGCATACCAGTCTGTGGGCATTGCTTCATTTTTCCGTGAAGGGTCCAGTTCGGGAGGCAATCCAGAAGCGGGTTAATGATCTCAGCAGCCGTCGCGAGGCAGGTACAGCCTCATCATCAAAATGGAGATTTGGCGGCTTGCTCAAATTTCAACAGAAGAATTGTAGAATAATTCGGCATGATGCTTTGAAGGGCCAACAGATATCTGTACCAGTGATGGTGCGTCGATAATGGACGATACATAAAGATGGGATGATGAAAGGTCAAGAACTTGACGCATTGAAAAAGCCAACCCTCATAAAGCGGCGGCATTGATAGCTTGACGGGAAACGGGGACCAACTGTCGCCATTGGATTTAACGAGTTCCGCAATTTAGTGAAACCACTTACCAGCGCTGGATTGGCAAAGGGGTCATCGCTTTTTTTTGCGTTTTCCAACACCGACCTAGTCAACCAGCCCGTGGATCATCGTGGTTGAGCCGCGGCGCTCATTGAGGAGTACTCTTCGAATCTTGTTTCAGCGAGCCATTTCCTATTTCTGAGTCATTCTTGCGCATGCCGATTTTTGGCATATGCTGGCATTTCTTTCACTGACCCCGATGGATGTGTCATGGGGAAAGGATCCGTCGAGTTTTCTTGTAACTCAGCCGTCACACTCAGAAACAGGTGACTTGTTCTCCAACTCGCCTTGCCCCCGAAGTTTTTATTGCGACTTTGCGAGTTTTGATTCAAAAAATTACGATGTATTGAAAGCTCTTTGTAATTATTTGGTATCTTTACACCCCCAAGAACCTAATTGTGGAGCTTCGATGATCCTTGCGCTAGTGAAGCGAGCCGAAGGACCCTATCGGGAAGTGGACCTACCAATCACCATATCCATGGAAACCGACCCACTACGCTAATCTGCTTGTTTAGACCTGGCAGCTACGAGCACCAGCCTTGACCCAACAGAAATGCCCATGGCATTATACCCTAGGCTGACTGTGTCGATTCAGGGGCTCTACGCCACCCAATTTCGGTCGACAAGTACAGGTGCATAGAGCAGTGACTATGCACACTTCCATAACCCGTGTTATGGTTCAACGTAAAAGTCCTTCCATTTCGATACATGTCAACCTCCTTATTATCTAAGAACAGTTTGACTGCCCAGCATAATTGCTCTATATTATGGTTCCCTCTACTTCTGACTCGTCGAGAGCAAAGAGTGGCATGCGTCCACCCCTCGCTTCAGCAAATGCCCCATCCATGGCCGACTCGCTGCCCAGCATCAACTCTGAATTCGAGGATCTGCGCAATCGTATGGCCCAATTCACAACAAAGTTTGACGAAGCCATCGAGCGTAGACGTAAACAGGTCCGAGAAGATCGTGACCAGTTTCATGTCAAGCTCACTGAACTGCAAGGTACGAAAAAGGAGTCATTTTGTTTTGCCTTTGTTTTACCTCGCTTTGATTCTGACGGTTGGTAAATTGGGCTGTAGAAGATGAACGAATGATACAACGGGATATCGAAATCATCAATCTCAAATCCCAATCTCACAAAGAGACCATACAAAACGAAGCCGCAGAGGCTACTGAAATGCATGCTGCAATCTCGTCTATCACCAGTGAGCGTGACTCCCGACTTGCGAAACGCGACCATCTCAAACAGCAAATTGCGGAGATACGGAATTCTATTGCCCAGAGGGTTGAAGCGCAAAACGCTCATGCGAAATACCTAGAGGTGCAACCCCACCTGAATGATCCCGAGCTGGCTTTTTCGCAAAATAATCTTTCTCTACGCATAGAGGGGGCTGGGAGGGAAGATCGGTTGAAATTCATTTACACTCATATCTTGGCGAAGGATTGGGAGAATGAGGCTTGGTTTGAGCTGGGGATTGCTAGTCGTAACTATGGGATTGCTAGTCGTAACTATGAAATTTTCCAGACCGAGCCAAAATTGGATCGTGATGCTTTGGAGAGAGAGGTGAATCTTGTGAATGAGAATCGGAATTTAGGGGCTTTCCTCAAGCGGGTGCGGAAGCTTTTCGCAGATACAATGAATTAGGGAGATTTTGGGCTTCGGAGGTATTGGTTGCACTTTCAAGCTTTCTTTTTGCAACCGACAATTATATTAGGTGCCTAGATAGCAATTACCATGTTGGTTCAATGTTGGTTTCATGTTTCTTGATAAACCTGTCGCACTAATAGACTGATCATGCGTCCATGACAGAAGAGAAGATTTCACCACCAGTTCGGCAAATGAGGCTTGTTCATCAATCGCACAGCGCGGCCTCACTTTAACGAGGTGCCACACCTTTTCGAAAATTGGTTAGTCTGTAGATCGATACCGGGATGGAGAGGATCGGGCAGCTAACCTAACCTACGTGGACCCTTTCCACAGTTTCAGGGTCTTTTGCGGGTAAGCTTCTGAAGGGACGGTAACGTACACTGTCGTTGCCAACTGGAATTATCCGGTAAACACAACGAAGCACGGGATAAGAGACACGAGAAATTGAGTATATGCGGGGAAGAAGAGTTCAAGGTTTGTTATTAAGGGAGTCATGTAGTATTAGAAAGAAGAATAAAAGAAGAGGACCAATTGAGTAAAGAGATTCGGTAATGGATACGGTTGTTCCAACCGCATTTCGAGTGAAGAATTTAACAAGAACTGCGACGTTGACATCGAATATTTCTTGGTTGTTCACAAGTCGCGTCCTCAACCCGACAGGCTTTGACCCATTTATAATTCGGTTTTTGAAGCCCTGGTCGCCTGGTCCGCACCCGCTTTTGGCTCCTGTAAGCCCTGGCCCTAGCGACCCGCGATCTAAGTAACCGAAGATCATGCTTGGAGCGTTCTCCCTGCAATACATACCTTCCACGGCCAGACACACAGTCTCTGTTATCCGGGGCCTTCTGGTCCGAGATGCTTGGCTTCTGTGCTCCATCGCATGTGCAGTTGTTGTCTTCATCACCATCGGTCTCTTCAGAGTCATCCTCATCTTCACTTTCATTCTCCATGTGGGCCATCGCATTTCTGTTCACAACCTTAAATCAGCAATCATTTCACGGGTCTTTAGCATGGAGTTCCGCACGGAGTTCCTACAACTGAAATACTTACCCTTCGGGCAGAGAGGATCGATTCATCATTCTGGGCTAACGGTCGGAAAGCGCTTTTCGCAGGCAGGCCATGCTGGCTCGCTCCTGCATCGACGATAGCCTGGGCTCTTGGTACACATTGCCCATAGCATAGCTGTGAGGAAGCGTGTGCCTGGCTGGAAAACCAGGCACTGTTGCAACGCTCCCATAGTGCCCCTGGCCATTGAGAAATGAGGATATTCGAAGGTCTACCAAATCACCCATCGGGGTTCTCGGGTAGGCTTTGGGAGTCCATGGCCTTTGCATGAGTATTACTGTCATTGAAACAGCGTCATCGTCACGCTCAAGAGTATCTCGGTCATTGATAAACCTTCTGTGTTCTTTAGCATAGGCACAACTCCACTCGCCAGAGGAGTCTTGGTGCCGTCGATCATGAATCAGCTGATTTACATGGGCACGCCGCTCATCTGACAGAGCCTGATACTGGCTTGCCGCGGAAATCTCGAAAGCTCGATCGTAGATCATACTATAGAGTTCAGGTTGGGTAAAATCCATTTGAGTGCGCTCTACCCGAGCCCATGTCGCACTCTGCTGTGGGAGAGGATCGGCTCTGAAAAACAGATACCCGTCGTAGACGTTGCGAAGTTGGAGTTGATTCATGGCTGTGGTGGGTGAATGCAGAGTAAATTGTAATTCGCAAGGTATGTGAGGGTTAATAGGAAATTTCTCAAAGGACAGAAAAAACTTTCCTCTGTCAACCTTTACTTATACTTTTCTAACCCCAAAGGATGTGGCGTTTTCAGGGGTGCCACCGGATGAAATGACGCTAGCTCTAACATCAGCCAATGATTGGAAGGGATGGAATGATGAGGCTGAGCTGTTGAGACAAGCCAGATAGGCACCAGAGATGATTGAGGGACGCAGCCCATTACCCAGGCGAGGGCCATGGAGCCACTAGTATCAATGCAATGATGTAGGACACCGAAATGAGCAAAAGCCTAGTATAGCTAAAGGAACGGTACGTTGACGAATCATTTGTATACAACTTTGGTGGGTGGGGGCGTACGGGCTGGATTTTATTCATCCAAGCCTCTTCACTAAAGAAGCAGCCTTGTCAACTTCTCAAGCCCGACAAGAATTGTACCATTGATATTATCAATATTGCGGGTGGTACTTCTGAGTTGTGGAATTCAGCTATATCATCAGTGGGTGGGAAGAAGAGTGTAGGTCCACGCAGTTCGTGATAGAGGGGGGGTTCTCCTTGCCGAAGGATTTCTCCTCTCTCTTCCGGGCATTCTCACCCGGGCTATTCATACCGAAACTCAATCAAGTACACTACTTGCCCATTTCAGGTTGGAAGGCCGGCACAGAGTATGACTTGTTTGTTTGATTCTACATATGCTTGCAGGTCGCATCATCTTTACACAGTGGAAGAAGTTCGAACACAGATTCTCATATGATCAAATGGTGGTAGCATTGAAAAGCACTACTATCCGCCAGGACACAGTGCACATTATCTTTATATCCGGTCTAGCTATTAAGGAATGCTACTTGGCTGAAATCAAGCCAACATCTGTATACCTAGGTCGTGGACATCTATCCAGAAGGATCGATTGAGGCTGAGACCTAACAAGGTGGGATGTGAATACGAGGAACTGACGATGTGTGGATAACTGTTAGGATGCAGGAACAGGGCAACGGGAACAGTTCATCTCTGAGGTGGAAAGTTGCTCTGCCTAGCCACTCATTGAGCTTCTTCGGCAGCAGAGATCAGTATCTGTATCTCAGCTTCCGGAAGTTGGGCGCAGCGTTAAGAGCTCGTGCTAGTTGGTTGCAAACAATTTCGGGAAATGTCCATGAGCCTAGAACAGAATGTAATGTCATGGCACCACCAGGCTTGCGGGGATCGTTCAAGGCTCCGCTCACAGAGAAATCAGCGCTGACCCTTGAGCTCCGTCGGACAAGTACCGGAGCTCAAGATTCGAAGCAAATTAGACGGACACCGATCTGTCCCCAGAAGGAATCGGCGAAAGTAGTCGAATTAGTGCCCCAAGTGGCAAATCACCTCGAGCCAAAAGTAGTCTACATACAGTGCCGATAGAAATACGCTCGCCCAGTGGCAAAGCAATGTTCTGTGACCAACCGGAAGAGTAAAAGCACCTCCACCTGGGCGAGACAAATGGGCTGATCAATCCTGTATTGAGGTGAGCTGGGTCTTCGTGCTTAACATTCAGTCCAGCGGCATTGCCATTTCAAGACTATGGATCAGCATCAGGGGGAACCGGGACCCCAGGAATACCTCCACCTGTTCACGGACTCTTGGAAGATTACGAAGCAGCTCTCGGGTAGAAGATCACACTCTCACATGGTTTCCAAACCCTGTGGGCCGTGGTATCCGTGTTCCGGCCTTGTGATAGACTGACCAATGATCACCCCCTCTGACTATAATCCGCCCAATTCCCGTGTACCGGGGCTCTCTGTGTACCAGATGACAGAAACGAATCCGTGTTGACCGAGTATTTTTTTTGGCACAATCGTGCGACTTCCAACTTTGATAATACTCCAGCCTTTGACGATTATTTTCGATAGATACGGACACCTTCCTGTGTAGGATCCGAGGTGAGCAATCAAAATCGATCGGCATGCTACGTCCTAGATTGGCCAGTAAAAACTGCGTATTTCGCGGGGAGTTCATCAGGGACCAATCGGCGTCCTTTCGTTAGAGTAACGGAGCAGGTTCTAATCTACTTGATCGCAAGTTGAATCTATGTCAGTCGGCGGAACTAGTCTTGAAACCAAGAATTTTTCATTTCCGCAATTGAGCTGGTGCTCTAATTTGATAGGCGTTGGTATGGGCCCAGACCTAATGCCAGGTCTCCAGACGAGACTCCTCGAGTAGTAAAAAGACAACTCGTCGAAGATTCCTAGTGCAGCTCCTAGGATCTGGGCTCCAGTCACGGTATTCAACTCGATTTCTGAACCTCGAGAAAAGCTGTTCGGGGGACTCAATACTTGATCGTAAAATTGCCACTGTAAACATGATATTTCAAGCGTATTTGTGATGGTCTATTCTGGTCTAGAGCCACTAAATTGCCCCTATTCCATTGAACGAGGAGTTTTTAAGACGGCAAGAGTTACCCCAAGCCGGCCTTTCAGGGATCAGCGAGCCCACATACACAAAGTCAGAACCCATCCTCCTAGACCTACTGATTACTCGCCGCGATTGTCCGGTTTCCAATTGCTTTTTACCCCGAGAATAAAGCCGCGCGATGAAGGCCCTACGAAGGTAAGTCGCAATGCCTGGTCCCGTTGGAATACCCTACTGAAATTCGCAGTCGTGGTGCTTATGATACAACAGGTGTTAAGAAGCCAGGTGCTCCCCCTCCACCACCAAAATGATATCAGTCTGCCTGTGCTGGGACATAAAAAAATGGGTTGAAAGATGGTTCAAGCATTGAGAGTAATCCAGAAGGGAAGTAGAAGTTGTTTTGATGTTTGTGGTGGATTCTTTGCCCCTTTTTCAAGGGATTCCTGGCTTAAATCTTGTCTTTCCTCATCGCAATTTTTGGCCCAGGCAAGCAAAATTTGTATGTACTATATCACTGCTCCTCTTTCTATTTTTATTGATACATGTCACGATCCTGAGGGCTCGCAATCGTCATAATGTAGCTTCAATTACTACTATTGCCATCTTGTTTCTGTTTTTCTTACTGCGGCTCCTTTCTAGGGCTTTCCATGAGAGATGGTTCGGCACAGACCGGCCCTTATGCTCGACTCATTTTTATCACTCGACCATGTTGTAATAAGAAGTTGCAGGACCTGTAGCCCTCATGTAGATCCCTCTCAGAGGTGGATTCCTCGGATGGATCATGCGAACGGCACCCTCACATTGCTGGTAAATCTTCAACCGCAGGTTGCAAGTATAATTGATTGGTTTCGCTGGTTGGAAACTGAATGGAAGTTGATAATATTTACGAAGATTCTCCGGGTCTGGTTGCATAACTGAAGTGGCATTAGCACAATGGACCTGAAGTGTGAAAGAAAAAAGTACCCCTGCAACGACATCCGAGAACATAGCAACGATTGCAATGACCGGTAGTCCCATAGTAGTCCACGGCAGCCGGCTCCTTTGGGATTGAATACCCCTTCACCAAAAGCTTAGATGTACCCAACACAGCATTATTTCTCCCCAGGCCTTTGGAAACATGCGGTCTGGGAAGGTGGACTTCGTACAGTCAAGGATCGAGAATATGCAAGTGTGTAACAATTCGGAATCGCCGGCCGAGGAACAATTCGGCAAAAATAGAGAAATATGGGACAGACAACTAGCCGCAGCGGGCAGAGAGAAGCGAGGCAAATTTTTCTATCGATAGACAAAATGGAATTAGCTTACTCTTCTTTTCATCATGTTCAAGTTAGTTGTGGAGTTTGATTGAATGTGCTAAATGCACCATGACGCTTTGGGAATTTTCAAAGATTGAACGTCTGTACGAGAACAAGCGGTACATACTGTAGCAGGATGAGGCGCCGTTTTATGACCATTCGAGGTGGCGGAATCCGGCGAGGGCTTGGTGTTCAAGGCCACTCGGTTGGCATGATATTGGGTCTTTCTGAGTATGTTGGTGGGTTGGCTGTCATTTCTGGATAGAGAGTTATGGCTATGGCATAGAGACTGTGACACCGGCCTAACGTGGTACATCAGCAAGGGAAGGAAGGATGAAATGACTGAAGAAATACATGCCACCTTCAGGAGCCGCTAGACGGTACCACGTTCATGTTCATCAATGACGTCTCTGATTTCGGATAAGGAAGGGTTTCCTCAAATACTGGGCGTGCAGGTGTTAATCAAGTTAAAAACGTTCTTCGAATGCTTCTCCCCAAATCATAGGAAAATCGGTGACGAATGTAGCGGTTATTACTTCGATACATTGACATGTTGATCTTTTTAACGATTTTGTGCGGGAGTACTGCTAGCTCAGGAGAATACTTGTAATTCAGCCGTCACACCTAGAAAGAGGTTACCAATTTCCCGCCTCTCCCGGTCCCCGGACTTTTCATTGCGGCTTTAAAGTAGGTTTGATTCAAATAATTACGATGTATTGAAAGCCATCCGTAATCACCTGGTATCTTTACATTCCCAGAAACCGCATTGTGGAGCCCGATGATCCTTGCGCAATTTGAATTCAGGCGAATAAACCCATCAAACCAATCCCGGCTAACCTACAGATCTAGACCTCCGACGATGAGCGCCATCCTCATACCGACAGAAGTAACTACAGTATTCCTGGGGCTGCACTGGAGGATCAGGGGCTCAGACGACTAGTGATTGGCCCACCACTCCGGTCGCACAGGGCCAGCGATCATGCAAATGATGGACAGCGTCTGCAGATTGGTATATCTATGACTCCGTCGCCTAGCACTGGCTACTGGCTTATGATGGATTCCCAATTTCCTTTGATCAAGATGGACGGCATATCGCAGGCTAGCGATGGCAGCCAGAAAGGTTTATTCCATCCCCATCACCACACTCACAAGCTGTTATGCCTTTACTAACTGAGATGACACTACAGCCATGCACAAAGCACCTTCTTCGTCCTTTAGCACTGCGTCTACAGAGCACGAGGTCTCCATGGATAATCCAAGCGATGAAGCCGACCGAG